AAACTGTTGCGACAGAAGGTGTTGGACAAGAACTCAGAGGAGTTTGACTTTCATATGATTAAATCGCAACTCAAAGACGGCGTTCACTACGAGATCCGCGACGACGACCGCGAGCTCACCAAAGATGAGCTGAAGTTAATGCAAACGCAAGACATTAGTTATGTTCAACAGAAACGGATGATTGAGATGAAGAAAATCGATAAATTGAGACAAAGTCTGCATTTGATTGACTGCGAGAGTCGGCCCAAAAACAAACACACATTTTTTGTCGACAATAAAGCGGACAAAAAGTGTTTCGATTTCGGGAAGCGTTTGAATACTAGCGAAGAGTTGCTGAAAATGGGCTATAATTTTGCGAATAGTGATAGACTTAGCGAACAAAATGTGACCGAAGATGACGTCCGAAATGTGGCCCAATTGAGGGACAAGTCGTACAAAGAGTTGGCTAAACGTATGGAAAGACTCAAGTTTTTGGACCTTTTATACAAGAAAATGGATGTGAAGAAGAAATTATTGGTATTTAATACTGATTTTGATTGAATTTGTTTCAGAAGTGATTGTTTGATAATTAATATCTGTTTTAATGAATGAAATGACAGAATAAGAAGGAAAGCAAACCAAAACTCGTGAAGAAAGGATCCGTCGGTAAAGCGCCTGAATTTAAATGGAAAAGTGAAAGAAAACGATAACCAAATGAATCGTTATTTTATTTTTCATAATTTTTCAAATAATCATTAATAAATGGATTTATATTTATTGCTTACAAATATGTATACAATTTTATTTAATTGAATTACTAATGGTTTTATTGTCATTGATTGGCAAATACAAAAAGGATTGTATTTCTTAGTTTTTATTCGTTCACTATATGAACGATGGGATCAATACATGTGTTGTAGCTCTGCATCCAAACCGTCTCCACAATCACTGTCAGTGCTGTCCCTCTCAGACCACCGCTCACTTCAAGCGGTCTCTAAAGCCATACTTTTAATTGCAGTACAAATCAGTCAATACTTTGATTAATGGCTTTTCGGCCGACTCGAGACTCTTCGGGCGGACATACGATGCGGTCAGCAGCGGATCCTCGAGGACTGCGGCCAACGTTTGACGCTTTCGGTAATTCTTAACTAAGAGTTGTCGCAAAACACGGTATCTACCAATGGATAGACAGGCGTTGAGGTCACGTCTGGCGCCCAACAACTCTTTGCCGATCAAACCCACGGCCCAGACATCACACGTGCGGTTGTCGGGCACCGGAACTGCTTTCAGGATTTCGGGCGAACTGTAGAGATGAGTGCCGTAATCAGCGATCGCTG